CAATATTCCTTATCTAGTCTTCAAGTATCTACACAAAGACACTATTCAAAATATTACAGCCTTCTTAAACATTATACTCTCCAGAGAAGAGATTCCTATGAAATGGAAGAAAGGCACCATATACCTCATTCCCAAATCCAAAAACTGGGAGCATGATATCAATATTATACAACCTATTACCCTACTCGAATCCATTAAAAAGATTTTTACAAAAGTACTTACCAATAGACTCACAAAAGTCTTATCAGAACACAAGATCCTCGCTGAACAAAACTGGGTTGCACTTCCTTACCAGAGCATCAAAGAACCAATTAGCATAATTAACAATATTCTAGAAGATGCAGGAGAATCTATCAGCTCTTGTTACATGCTTTTTCAAGATATAAGCAAAGCATATGATACAGTCAACATTGAGTGCCTCTGCACAGCCTTACAGAGAATCAAAATATCAAAAAAACTAATTAATATCATCCACAACTGCTTCTTACATAGAGAAAATAAAGTCATAACCTACTTTGGTAATACTGAATCATACCAAGTACAAGAAGAAATTGATCAAAAAAATACTATCTCTCTGATCCTTTGGCGAATCTATTACAATCCACTTATTAGTAGAATAGATAGAATGCTTGAATACACTTTATGAACACACAGACAAGACCCAAATAGCCTAACACCATCCAAAATAAACATATCTATAGTTGCTTATATGGATAACTCATGGATATAATCAATATCAGTAACTCATTCTACCAGGTAAATGATATAACTATAAATCTATATAAATCTAAACTTCTAGTAATCAATCAAAAACTAGAAAACATCAAAATCAGCAATCACCTAATCGAATTAATAAATAATCTCAGTGCAATTAGAATACTAGAAGTCTGGCACGAATCCAAAAAAGGAAAAAAATATCAGAGAAACCTGATTTGGAAAAAAATCAACTCCATTTGCAGCATAACTTACAAAAGTCAAGTATTAACAAGATATACATATATATCATTAACAATATCCTCTTTTCAACAATTGAAACTTGACTTATGATTTAGTCCTCTTACCAACAGAAATAAAAAAAATTGATAGAAGAATTAGACATAGTATAAAGTACAAAGCTAATCTTGCACAGTCAATACCAGACCCTATATTATATCTCAAAACTCATTATGCAGTTCATAGAATAGCAACAAGGCAACTTCAAAAGCACACTAGTGATCTCCAAGACCTTCACAACAGTCTATTCACAACAGGATACATATGTCGAAATAGATTACAAAATCTCCAATAGTATGCTTAACAAAAAGATAGTATTCTAAAACACTACCCCAACATTTTTAAAAAAGGTCATAACTTCTACTATGACATTCTTCACAACCTATAACGAAATGAAATAATAGTTATTTTTCACAAGAAGCAAGAGAATCAAGAAGAACTCCACCATATCAGTCAAATTACAAATCAGTAATAGTACTCTAAGTACATAATATTGTTATGACAGCCCAGGATCAAATACATTGAACAAGTAATCAGTATATATAAAACATGACCACTACTTTGGCACCAGATTGGTAGCCTACACAACAAATCTATCAGAAGAAGAGAGCCATTCTGATATCATGAGCTCATAACAATCACAAATAACTTCCTTTAAGATCCTAACAACTTCAACAACCTCAACACCTTTGTTCAAATTGAACTTATAACTATTAGTACAAGCACCTCAGCATGATATATCACATTTCTCAATAACAGGATCATCATTGGGAAAAGAACTAGTAATGACATAATACAAAAAAAATAAAATACTACCAACACTCCAACAATTTGCTACTATCTATCTGCACAGGATGTGAGAACACAAATATAACTGATAGCAGGAGTGACAAATGCTTTATCAAAGTGATTAACACAGATCTAGCAAAAATACCTGTAGCCTCCATTATCTGCTCTTCATCATCAAACAATGGATCAACAATGTTACAAATACAAATATCTCCCAGCATATAATCAGATGGTGGATCCATCAAACCAACCTATTGAAATGGTAGAAATAGACCCACTGCCAAAGCACATTATTCAGCTTAACAAGCTTATTAAACTAATAAAAGAAACTTTTGATCAAATCAAAAAAATCAATAACAGCTTTTCCCTTTCATCCAGCATCAACATATACTGTGATGGAGCATACAATTTAATACTAGATCCTAACCATATCAGTACAGGGCTCATTCTGCAAGATAAAAACAATACAACACTGGAAGTCTCACTATGAATTAAAACCAAGGATTCCAGCAATCTGGCAGAGCTCCTGGCTATTACTATAGCCATTCACCTTCTCAAATACAACACATCCTGCCATATTCACTCTGACTCAATCACTGCCATTAATGAGATCCAGCAAGCAACCACTTGCAGTACTAAAAAGCACAAATACCTTAGGATCACTGATCACATCCTTTACACAATCAAACAAAGATGACTCAACATTACATAGCACACAGTAATGGCAGAGGACACCCCAACAAACCACAAATGGGCAGACCAACTCATCAAAAAGTGCCTCAAAGAGCATGATGCAATATACACTACTATACTAACAGAATACTCTCACAATACAAACTTGATAATATACAAAATCCACAACATTGAAGTCATACAGAGTATAAGAAAAGCCATAGACACTATACAACAAATCAAACAAACAATAGCATAGAATACACTGAATCACAACTTAGACCTAACAGATGATCAAAGGGAACAGATAGACTGAAAAAACTCAATCTGAAATCTCCATCTATCCAATATAAACTCTTTACCCTGTGATCCTTAGAACCAAAGACTGTATATATACTCACTCAAACTCTGGAACAAAGAACTCCCTACAATAATGCCACTATACAAATGTTATCCAAGCACATACACCACAAGCAAATGTTTCAGATATTAAGACACAGAAGATCAAAGCTATTCTTTCTTATGTAAAGTATATGGGCTAGATGTCAAATACCTCATTATCAATATGATTAGTAGAGAAATCTCAGCAAGAATAGAAAGACTCTCAATATCAAACATCAAAGCTGAAGTTATTGAAAATGTGAACAAACACAATATCTGGGATTTTATCATAAGAGGCAGAATTATCAAGGATATTACTTAACTCATTATTTCATAGCTAAAGAGAAACAAACTAGAAAAGACAGTTCAGGACATAATCAAATGCATTTATTTCATCATTTTCAATATATGGCAAGACAGATGTTATCACTTCTACAAATAAAAACCAGACAACAAAATCAACTGTATCACATTAGAAAAGGAAAAATGAAAACAGAAAAAAGTCCAACAACAGTATACCCAGGAGATAGCAATGGAAATAAACACAAATCTAATCATCAACATTATTAATGGGAACACTTCCATTTTTGACATATACTCAAAGCACACTAATAGAGCCTAGGCATATTAGTTTCTTCATAAGAGACAACAAGCAATAGGGGATTTATCCAACAAACTGGCTTTCTTAGAAGGTAATGGGGGTAACACATAGAGAAAATAGATCATAAAATAGTTTTGTATTTTAAAGTAATATGTACCCTTTTATACCTAATAAAGTGGGCCTGTTATTGTGCTTCAAAAAAAAAAATAATAAAAAATAAACTTTCTATTATATCTATACTAGCTATATTATCTATCTTTGTTTCTACTTTTTCTATTTTATTTTACCTTTATTTTTTAATATTATCTTTTGTTTTTATATGAATAAGTTCAATTCTTTTATTGTTATTGCTTTGTCTCTATTGTTTCTATTCTTATTAGTTGATTCTCTTTTTAAAGTTGTGTTATAAAAAAGATAGGAAAATTATTGCCTTCTAAATAAGTTGTTTCAACTGGTGTGCCTTTCAAAAGTAATTTGCTCCATTTCTAGTTTATCTAAAACCAGTTGTAGTAGTTCTTATTGTGTACTATTGTAATTACCAATAATATTGTCATTAGAGTTTTTTCTAATTCTATTCTATTATCTTTTCTTTTAAAAGTTTGGTGATTAATGTTTTATTGCTTCCAGTGATTAGATATTATATGCCATATTTTTTAAGAGTTTTGTTTTTTGTGTTTCTTATTCTTTTATTTTCTTTATCTATATATCTATTTCCCCTATAAAGATTGTCTATTGTTCTTATGTGGTTTGTTTCTATAGAAATCTTGAATTGATATTTGAGTATTATTGGTATTTTCTTTTGGTTTCTATTTGTTAACTTTCAATGTGTATTATTTGGATATTGTAATCTGTTGATATATCTACTTGATTATAAATAAAGATATCTATTGTGCCCCATGTTAGGTGAGAGCTTGTCCAGATTATATTTATTCTGTTTACTAATATGCTGCAGTATAATTGTAGAAAATTATGACATGTATATTATCTGCCTTGAGGATTATGGTATCTGTATGAGTTGACTATATCAACCTTATTTAATTATTGACAAAACCAGTTTTGTTCGATCTTTGTATATCTTCTTATTAATTCTAATTCTATCTAATTTAATGAAGTGATTGCAGTTGAAGTTATCTTCTATTATAGTATGTCAGTTTTCATGATTATATTGCTTGATCCACTTGATAATTTATTCTTGCATTTTCCTTTTAAGTTTTTCTGTACTGGCTGATAAGTATATTTCTATATATATAGTTCTGAACTAAAATTTTTATATTTGTATTATTCTATCTGAAAGAGGCTTTTTAATGGCAATACTAATTTGTGCTTCAATGAGTCTATCCCTTGTCCACTATATATTATGTGTTAGTATTTTCCTTGTCTTTGTCTTCTTTTTTGTTCCATTTGTTTCTGTTGAGATGATAATATCTCAATTATTGTTTTGCCATATTACAAATTAAGTTTTTCTTTTTAGCTAGTCATTTAGTCTCCTGCAGTTGAGTATAGCTATGGTCTAATATGGTTAGTTAATATTTATATTCTTTATTTGTATTGTATTTTCAGGATACTATGGTCTTGTTGTATTTGTGCTAAGTTATTGGACATGTTCGTGGTGGTTGAGTTATTGATATTAAGTTAACTATTGTTTTCTATTTGATCTTTTTGTGTTATATTATAGTATGTATGGTTGTTATAGTGTATAGATATACAGTATCAAAAATATTATGTAATTGTTTTTCATAGTTGTTTGTATTTTGTTATTGTTATGAAAATGGATGGATAAAGTCTCTTGATATATAAGTATTGCTTATTATATTACTTTTATTTAATGTTTGATAATAGAGAGAGGGTTTGTATTTATATAAATTATATTTATTTGTAATTATAGAAACTAGAATATTTATTATTTAATCCATGTTGCTGATAAAGGTATGCAGCAGCTACTATTATTGTTGAATATTGTTCAGGTCTGAAGTGTATTGAGTAATAGGTATACTATTGTTGCAATTTTGGTTGTGGTCTTCTTCTATTTCTTCTAGATTATCAAAACAATATTGTTCTAAGCTGTCTATTCTTTTATTAAGATTGTATAGAGCTTGTTTAATTGTTTTAAGTTTTAAATAAATTTTGGTCAATAAGTTTGCTATGTTTCAGGTGTCATCTTGTTGAGTGTTCAGAGATTGTTGTCATGGGATTTGTTTTTGGCTGCCAATGCATATGATCCTGAAATAGTTGTAGCTCTTCTTATAGATATGTTTATTAATTTATAAATGGGTATTGAATTTGTGACTTAAAGAATTGATACAACTTTCTGAATTTGATTACTTGCTCTTGATTGAATTCTTTTCATTGTTTTCTTTTTTCTTTGATAGTACAGTTTGTTATTATGTTTTGTGGGCTATTACAAATGGTGTAGATTTTATTGTTAATTGGTTTGCATTCGAGAACTGTTTTTTCTAGCATGAGGGTTTTAGTAAGTACTTTTGAATCTAAGAACTGTGTACTTTCTAAAGTTTGTATAATAGAAAGCAAGAAATGTAGCAGGTTTTGGTCCTGTCTCTTTATAGATAAGTTTGAGGTCAAAAGCATTTGTGTTAGATGAAAGATTTGTGAGTTTGAGGAAATAATTGCCTCAGTTTTTCATTTGTTCAAGATTCCTTTCTGCATCAAAAATTTTTATAGAATATGCTTTGATTAAGGTACTCCATTGGTTTAAAATTTTGAGTTTGTTTTCTTTATTAGTAAATATGATGATTTCGGACTATCATATATTTATGATTGTCATTTTTATATTATTAATTTGACTGAATTTGACAAAAGTTTGTTGTATGTCAATAAGCTTTGTATTTAAGGAGATGTTTCATATTCTGATATTATATTTCTTATTGAGCCTATGTATGGTTTTTTCTATGTGTAATAAGCAGAGATTGTCCATATTTGATAAAATAAGGTTGTTTGCATCATCTGCTATATATTGATCTTCGAATATAGTGATTATATAATCTTCATTTTCTCAGTATTTATTTTGGATAAGGAAAAGGCCTTCATGGAAGTTTAAGACTTTTGTGAGATGAAGTATTTTTTATGGGTTATTTTGTCAAAAATTAATGAAGTTTTCACTTCAAGTTTGATTCTTTCATATCCAAATTTGAGTCTAGTGTTAAAGGAAGACCTAGATTATAGCCTTGAATTAGGTGTGTATATTGGGGTCTTTTATTTTTTCCCTTTCTGTTGTTAGCTGTCTGACAGTTATTATTTGTTTTTAAGAGTTCTTTTTTGATATCCATATTGATATCCGAGTTATAATTCTTGTTAGATATTGTTCAGAGAAGTTCTCTTTCATAGTTATGTGTTCTAAAGCTAGTAGTGCTTGGAGTTGTTCTCATTTAACTTGCTTACTTCATGAGCTGAAACTAATGTTATTATTTCCATTGCTACTTTTTGTTGTTATAGTGTTGTCTATGTAGTTTGGTTTGAGAACAGGGGTGATTTTGAGAGGAGAGTATTGTCATTTTTGCTTTGGATTGTGGTTATATACTTCTTTTTGAATATATATTCTTTGTTTCTTTTGATAGGGGTGGTCTTTTCTTTGGATATCTTGTTTATATTGTAATTCGGCCTACTATTTACATATTATTGTCTCTTTGATCTCTTCATAACTTGTTTCTCTTTGACGTTTTATAATCTGGATTTGATGTGCCACAGGTGAATAGGAAAGAGTTGAATGTTATGAAATTATATTAATTTAAAAAACATATTATAATTAAAATAAGATAAAAACTATTATTAAAAACTTTATTTGGTTAAAATAATAATAGTAAAAAAATAATTATTATTTATAAACTTGTTTCTTATATTTTATTAGTTTTATAAATATAAAATACAAATTAATATAATTAAAAATTAAATAAAAATAAGATATTGATAAACTCCTTTTATTAATAATAATATTATTATTCTATATAATAGAAGCCCATTTATATTTTACTATTAATATAATTTGTATTGACAATTACTTATGATAATATTATATTTAAAATCAAATATAATACAAATTTCTTTTTTTAGAACTTTTTTATATACAGTATATAAAAAAAGCCAATACTTAAATTTTTTTAATTATTGAAAATAAGCTTTTTATATAAAAAAAGATTAAAAAAGAAAGGTAAGAGTTTAAATATTGTTAAAGAATCAATAGGAAGAGTTTTTTTTATTATTAAATTTATTAATTAAAGTACACAGTATATTTAAATTAATTATACGTATACTGATAATTATATTTTCTTTTTTAGCAAAAATATTTATCCTTTTGCAAAATAAGCTGCGAACATTTTTAAGATTCGTGAGTTCTTAAATACAGGAATGCATTTTCAGTTTGATAAAATTTATAGATAAAATTTACCTTCTCACCTAGCATTTTGTTCATTTCCTCAAGTTCCTTATATATGTCAAGAATGATCGGACGCTTTTCTGGCTCAAGCCAACATCTTCGATACAAGTCAACGTATTCTTGAGGAGTACTGAGTTTAGACTCCTCCTGAATGTTATTTTCTATATTTCCTTCTGGTAATAATTCATAACTTTTTACATTGAAAACTGGAACGCTTCTGTTTGATATTTCCCACATGATAACACCAAAGCTGTAAATGTCAAATTCGGTTGTATAATCAACCCTTGGATCTTTCAAAACATTAGGATCTATAAAAGCTATCGATTCACCTAGTAAATTATAATAACCCGATGAATATCCTGTTGTGATGGAGAATATTCTGGGATCCAATAAAAAGATTCTACCATTATTAAGGAATACGACTTTTGTACTCTAATGAAATTACCAGGTATAATTTTAATATGAAGATAAAAGAAACAAATTCTAAACGAAAGATAATCTCACCAAATTTCGGTGAACCATTTTTATTTCGTTATGTATAAAATTTACTCCATTAGCTATATCCTTCGTAATTCGAATTTTTTCATTCCACTCCAAGGTGTTATTCGATAGATAATCACGAAGATTTTCTTCTGGATATTCCAACACTAGTAGGGAACTTCTACTTTCTGGGTCTTAAAGAAGTAAAAGAACAAACGTATAATAACTCGTTGAATCGCAAAGAACAAAACATGAGTTGAATGTAAACAATTTCACCTTGACTTATTCCTAAAATTTTAACAATATTCGTGTTTTGCTTTCTCAAATTAACAATCTACACACATTGCGTATCAGATAACTAAACATTGTAATACATCAAGGTGCAAGATCACTTACTTCTTTCGAGATTTCTCTTTTAGATGTAAAATATTTTAAGGCCACTAACTTATTATTCTTTGACCAAAGCCCTTCTTTTATTAATCCATATACTTTCTTTTTTACCAATCTTACATTTTTAAATTCTGTGTATTTGATGGAGTCAAGATCACTGTTCAATATTTCATCGCTTTCAACCATCATTGTGACGTAGATAATTAAAAAGAAAAGAAATTAAAGTGAGCGTTCGAACTATCCCGCTATTTCTTACAAAACTAAAATAACGACCACACTTCGTTCGATTCAACCATGCAAGGACAATCAATAATTTGATATGTTGCAGTTTAAATAAGAAGCCCAAATATGAGTTGTTGATTTATTTAATGCTGTATGAATGTCTCGTCATGAAATTATGCATATATACTTATATATATATAGTTAAGTTTACTTTATCCTTTAAGACATAAGATTTATTACCATTATTGCAAAATTTGATCAATTTACAGTGAGTTTCCTGTCCGGTCCACAGAATATACACATAGTAAATTAAGTATGAAACTGTGCCGCGGCATTTTGGATCAACTCCGATTATTGGAACAGACTAAAATGTCGATATGAAGTAATATATCTGTTTATCCTAATAACTGTTTTGAAATTGTAGACGCAATAATGTTATTAAAAAATTCCGATTCACATATTTACGCAGTTAGGGTAACGCCTGATTTTCTTGGCGTAGGCCGCACATAAACAATAATGTACGAGGCGTATTATGAAATTGGTTTGTTTATATTAATTAGATATTTGACTATATTAATGTTTATAAAAAGAAAAGTAAAATTAATTAAAGAATATCTTAATAGAATTCATCTTATTGAGAAGCGGTCCTAAGAGTTGTGTCTTTTGGAGAAAACTGGAATTTATTTTTTCTTTTCTTTTCTCTTCTTTTTCTTCTAGTAGTACAGGTTATGCATTTTTATACTTCTTTTTATTCTTTTATATCCCTCTCCTCTTTTTTAATTTTCCATTAACCAGTGGCTTGGTAGGACATGCAGTAGTGACAACAGCTTGCTATAATGGAAGGAAATGAGAGGGTCTTTACTCAAAGTCTCCTCTGGAGCAAAATATTGTTTCCAAGGCCTAACTTAGGAGTTTTTTATATCTATGATAAGTTAGATATGATATAATGTTTAGCTAGTATTTTTCATCCTGATTTAATGAATATGTATTTTTATTTTCTTAATGATTAATAAACTATTGTCAGCCTGGCTACAGATTTTACAAAAAAAAAAATAAAAATAAAAATAAGGAAATATAAATCTCTTTTTACTGATTTCCAATTTTTTAGAATTTTTTTTTTGATAATTTTTAAGAAAAAGAGAAGTCAGTCAAAAAAACAAGAAAAATTATCCTTACAATTAAACAATTTACAAAAAAACAAGTTTAGGAGCACTTTGCAAAGTATAAAAAGAGATAAATATTTATAATTTATTAACTTCAATTATATAATTCTTTCTTTTAAGAAGAGAAAAACCAAAAGAATATTAAATCACAGTAATTTCTTGAAATTCAAACATCAATCTCACAAAACTCTTAGCCAGACTAGTGCAATTTAACATATTTTTAGACACTAAAGGAACTTTATAAGCAATAATTCAAACTGATAAATTAATCTAAATTTAAATACTTACAAAACTTAAAGAATTATCTAAGCTTCATTAATCATATATTAAAAAGTACATATATTATAACAACAATATTTCTTTCTTTCTTTTTTTTTAATCCTCAGTCAGACTAATTATATGTATTTTTTTTTTTTTTTTTTTTTTTTTTTAAAAAACTGCAACTGGTATTAGATGTGAGCTGTTTATTGATAATTAAATTTTAAGCATTACATCAATCATCTCATACATATACATGCAGATTAATGATAATCTATTGCGGCTTGTCCTAAGCAGACCTGCTTGAAACCCCCCTGTAGGTGGACACGCCTGACTAGGGGCCAGATGGTTGATAACAGTCATCAATGGTGATGTTGATATAGTTAGCTAATTCTGTTACTAAGGGACTACATTGCTATGCTAACTTATAGCTAGTATCAAATTCTCAAGAGTTAATTAAACTACTCAAATACCCTGATACTTTTCACTTGAACCTCGAAAGGGATTTCAATCTTCGTTGTCATCACCTGCGGCATCACAGACAAGTCCTGTTTGACAGGTCCTTCATTTAAGCAAGCATCAGATTGGGATATTTCAAGTTAGGGTAGTTAGATTCCAAAGTCTGCTGGTACAGTTTGGGATAAGGAATGTTTAGACACTTGCCACAATCCTAAAAGTAGGGTCCCAGAGTCTGCTGGTATAGTTTGGGGTTAATGTTATATTTAGATGATTACCACAGTCCTAAAAGCGAGGTCCTGGGGTTTGTTTCCTGTCCAGTTCAGGGGGGTTAGGTCGGGCGTAATTCATGTAACCAGACCAGAGGCCTTTCTTTATGCAATTCTCGCGGTAGATCCTTTTCAGCCTGGCAATCAACAGAGAGATCAGAAGTCACATCTTTGTGCAACCTGGTTATTTTTCTCATATGGCCCTTGTGTAGTATTGAACTCTGGACCTTGTGATTGTGACCTGGGAGCACTATCACTGTGCTATAGACCCACAGGTCTTCTAATTATATGTATTTTATTAAATATTAATATACTATATATATAAAATATGTCACTAAAGCTATATTTCTAATTAGCTCACTTATTTTAGTTATTATTACTCTAAGTGCAACTTCAGGAGTAATTTATTACTTCATTAGTAACTTAGATGAAAACCCTTCCAACTATTAATTTTATTGCTTGTAGATTACTATTGCAGATTCTCCTTATAAGTTATAATTGAAGTTAAAATCCTATCTTATTACATACTTGATTTTTTCTAGTAAGATTCATTTCAAGCCCTTATTTATTAGCTTTTTTTTTTCTGTAAGGACCTTTTTATATGTGTAATCTTGTTGTTATAATCTAAAAGGCTATCTGGTCTTCTTATTTTATCTTTCTATAGATTTCTTGTACTTGTTCTCATTTAATTATTCCTAAGTACCTTTTATTTTAAATATTTTTTTAAAATTGATTGCAAATTTTCTTCTGTATTTTTAATATTCACTTTTGAGCTTTTTTATATTCTTTTCTAATAATATTTTTATTTGACATTTTCAATATCTGATTATTTTATATTGGTTCTATACAAAAGTTTGATATATTCTGACTTGTTTTTGTAGTCTCTTCTATAAATCCAATTATATGTTTATTCAATTTTTTAATTCTACTCTATCTTTAATCAGAAATCTTATTTTTTTCTCTTTTATCTTTTTTTTTTATTATGTGTAGTGTTAGATATCTTAGATAAGTTATTAATATGTTGGTCTTTCTAATAAGAAATAGCAACAAGTTATTTAGTGGGTCGAAGTTCTAAAAAGTACTACTTCCATAGATAGGTTTATAGCTGTAATTATTTCAAAAAAGTAAAGATATAAACTCTCTAATTTCTATAGCTTGGTTAGAATTGAGAAATAGTCCTATACTAGATAGTTATATAGTTACTCTATTCTAGTTAGATAAAATATAAATAGATATCTCTTTGTACTATTTATTAATCTATAAATCTCCAGACAGTAAGGATGATTACTTATTCTGATAAATAGAATGAAAAATATTTGTAAGATTTATAATATCTTCAAAGGACCCAACTATGCAAAGTTATCCGAAGAAAGTATAACAAAACTGATTCAAATTATTAATAACATCTGTAAAAATATGAGAAAAAACATAAAGAGTTGTGGATATTGTTTCAAGATACAATCAAAGCTTATAACACTATTTTTTTTTTTTTTTTTAAACGCTAGCTCATCCTTGCATCAGGTTGATACCTTTATTAATTATTAAGATACATTCTAGTGACAACCGGGATTACTAGTTACCCATACTGTCTAAGGATTTACAGATCAACAAATAGTACAAGGGGCATCTATTTACATCTCACTCAACCAGAATAGGGAAACTATATTACCGTCTAGTGTAGAATTTCTCTTAATCCTTAACAAAGTTGAAAGAAGGTGGATGTATGCTATCAAAATAATGGACCACAAATTGTACTCCCTCATCACAAACTGGTGCTTCCTAGGGGATATTACAGAATAACTTGTTGTTACCCTTTTGGAAGAAACTAATATGCCAAGAACTTGCCTAAGCTGCCCAGTACCACCAGTGTTAGGGATGTCTTATACAAGATCTGAAGACCTTGTTAGTGCTAAAAAGAAAAAAGAAAAAATATGGATCTGTCTTGTGTCTTGACTAGGGTGTAATCTTGTGTTATGGAACTCCTATCACCCATCTATTGAGAAACTGTTTTGTATGGTACTTATGTTTTTGTGAGTGGTTGGATCTGTCTTTGCGTACAGTCTATGGGACGAACAGTCTATAGGCTTGTTTACTCTTACTTGATAGCCAATTATTTAGGAGATTGCAGTGTCCTATATCCACCTGCACCAGAACATGACTTATAGTGGACCCCATGTTCTTATGGAGCTGAAAAAATGCATTCAGACACATGAGGTGACCAATGAGAGCTTGTTTATCAATCTTGTCCAACATGTTTCATGTCAACCAATCAGAATCAATGGAATTCATACTACCCGAAATTTCAGGGTCAAGCTGGGATAGGCAAAATTCCTCAAAAAGCCATGAAAAGTAGTAGCTCTAAGAGGGCACACAACCATTTAAAGGGTGGAAAATGAGTTCTTTGGATAGAAGAAACCCTCTCTTGAGTATTGTTTTGTTTCTCTACTTCATCTGATAGGTGGTGGGTAATGATGGGTCCCTAAAGTATTTAGCATATAAAATTTCGCAGATCACTTATGTCCTTTTTTGAGGGACAAAATTCATAACTCTTCACTTCAATAGGGACAAAAATCAGGAAATGCTATAAATCAATGATTTGAATAATGGAGAACAATTGTGGATAGTTTTTTTATAGTTATTAATTTAAAAATTTTAATGTTTCCTAGTGAGAGACATTTGACTTATGTCCCTGCCTCCCTCTTTAGGGACCCATATTTAGTGGCAGGTACTCTACTGTTGGTCCTTTTTCCTTAAGGAACTTTCTTGCCGTTGGTAGTCAAGGTAAGTGCTGGACTTTGCAGGCCACAAGAGTCCAGTATTG